TATTCTTTTCTCTTTGTAACCCAGGTTGATAAGATCCTCAAAGTGATTCCCCGAGATCGGAAGACATTTCTCTTCTCTGCTACCATGACCAAGAAGGTGAAGTGTGTTGAGATTTCTGTTTCTCCTTCATAAGGATTGATAAATAGCAGCAAATCACAATAACAACAGCAGTGATGAGCGAAGACAGAAAGAGCATTTAGGAATCAGTATACTATTATTTCTTTCTTTCTTCAGGTGCAAAAACTTCAGCGAGCAGCTCTGAAGAATCCTGTGAAATGTGCGGTTTCCTCTAAATACCAGACAGTTGAAAAATTACAGCAATATTATCTTTTCATTCCCTCTAAATTCAAGGTAAAGTATTTACTTGGACCATTCCTGCTCTTCCGTCACCAGAGCATCTGAAAATATGTGAACGCTTGGTTAGCTGAGAGCTGTGGTACAGACTGGAGTCCCTTCTGTTTGCTTTAGAGGACGTGTTTTACTTATGCTTGTCACTGAGAAGCCAGCATTCTGGGAATTCACAACATGTTAAACCCCAATAATGAAGTCATGATGTAATGATATGGTTCCTCCCTAACCCCATCCTTGTGGTGGTTTTTGTTTTCTTTGATTATTACATGGCCCACAGTTTTCTTCTAGGAAGGGGACGACCCTAGTTTTGTGCTTAGATTTAAAGTTGTTTCCTGATGGCTGAGTATAGATCTTGTGCTTGGCATCAAGCTGTATGTGGAATGCATGGTTCACAGAGATGATAATGCTGGTTAAGAAATGCAGAGTTGGCAGCTGAGGGTCAGGATAATTGAGAATCAACTGTGGGCTTAGTCTTGTATGTAGTTTCATATGCCTAGGTTTCTAACCCTTTCAGATTCAATTACATATATCGTTTTGGGTTTATAACTCAGGACACCTACCTGGTTTATATTCTGAATGAATTGGCTGGAAACTCCTTTATGGTATTCTGCAGCACCTGTAACAATACTCAGAGAACAGCTTTGCTACTCCGAAATCTTGGATTCACTGCCATCCCCCTCCATGGACAGATGAGCCAGGTAAGGGTTCTTTGGCCTCATTAGCTGTGAACTGGCGGCATGAGAAAGAGAAACCTTA